TGGCAGCCATAATAATGTATATAAGAAATGATAATAAATAAGAAATATAGCTCATTTTGTAGTAACATTTTGTAATTTAATAATACACTCCCCTCACCAGAATTTTGATAATTACATCACTAATGATGATCGTAGCCACATATCCAAAATTTTTAGGAATTTTAAATAAAATTTAATTAAGTCGTATTTAGCATTTTTGATCAAAAAAATGAAAAATATAAAAATTTTTTATTGCATTTTTAAACCCTATTATAAATAATAGTTGGTTTTAAAATATGTTATTCACCGTACCTAAAAGCATATAGGATTAAATTTTCATAGAGAAATTCAAAAAATTTCATCATAAATTATTAAGTTTAATTAAGAGTTTTGACAAATAAAAAAAAAACTGCAATTTTCGTATTTTAAAATTCGTTATAATAGAATTTTATAAAATTTTATTAGAATAGCTTAAAAAATTAATCATATATGCATTAAATAATGTATACTTAGATATTTATTTGGGGAGATTTTTCATAAAATTTTATAACATTTAATAATGCCGAATTTTAAGATACGAAAATTACAATTTTTTAATTTACCCAAATTCTTAATTAAACTTAATAATTTATGATGAAATTTTTTGAATTGCTCTATGAAAATTTAATCCTACATACTTTTTTAGGTAGAAAATAATATATTTAAAACCAACTGTTATTTATAATAGGGGCAAAAATGTCGACCTAATAAAGTTTTTTTCATTTTTTTGATCAAAAATGCTATTTAAAATTCCTAAAAATTTTGGAGTATAAGCTTATGCAAATCTTTATTCTGACGGTCATCATTACAGTAAGTAACGTGATTATCGATCAATGTTAGGGGAGTGTGTACATGGCTAAATTGTTTATATTTTATATTATTGTTATTTATTTGTATAAAGTAAAGGCTTAAACATAAAAATCGGCCACTAACAGGTTGCCGAGAAAAACTATAGGCTTAAAGTTTTAATAAAAATGTATCAATAATTTTTAATAACAAATACATAGCCATTTTATATTTCTTTGTCTGAAGTGGGAAAAACTTAGATTTTTAATATTGAATAAACGATTATGCTTTGATTGATTCTGATTCTGTAACAAATGCGATTATATAACGATTAAGTGGATTATCATAGAATCGATTTACAGTTCTAGAGAGGTATGGGTTATGATCAAATTTTTGCAAGGAATTTCTTAATGAGAACGAGGAAGGTGTTTTCATATTCAAAATTTCGAGATATTTGCGTTTTTCGTAACTTTCACGTTACATCAGATATTAAATTTGGATTGTTAGAAATTGTGCCGACAAACTGGAAATTACATGATCAGTCACTTTGTTTTCATCCTCCCCAGGAGCGCCAACAAAATTTATACGCTCACGTGATATACGGCAAAGCTCTTTAAGTTCGTTTATGTAAGGTTAGGGTCTATGTTAGTGCTAACTCAAAGCCCTGCTGCTGGTATATCGTTCAAGGAAAACTTGTTAATACGCAGAAGGTGGCTTCTTATTCAGATTTTGAGTATGAACAAAATGAATGTTTGTTTTGAATTTTTTTGCGCGCGTGACGTCGTCGTGCTTGAAGTTGAAATTGTAACTTCAAGCGCTTGAAGTTAAGCCTGACTAAATTAGCCCCTAAAATAGATCTTCCTACGTGCATAGTTAGCAAGTTTAGGCAGGTTTAATTCAAACGCTTGAAATTACAACTGCACGACTAAATCGAGGTTCGTTATTGGTTTATTTTCGTCGGTTATCACATGATCGTAAAAATTGCATTGGCGATCCTGGGGGTAACTCTTCGTTTTACAGTTTTAACCATGGCTAGTTGGGTTGTCACTCAATTCCCCGAAAGCTATTTACCCGTCAACTTATTTCCCCGCACCATAATGCTGAAAGCTACGTATTTCATCTGCAGCACATTTTTTCGATAAGACATATATTCGACATAACATATTTTCGACAATCCTTTTCTTTAACAGGAATTTCTCCGACAATCATTTCCTCGACATTAAATTAGCTCTATTTAACCTTAGGGGTGGTTGACTTAGGGTTAATGTTGGTTAGATTCATATATCAGAGAAATAATTGTCAAGGAAATGTTTTGTCTAAGAAGAGGATTGTTGAAAAACATGTAATGCCAAATATATGCCTTATCGAAAAAATGTGCTGTAGATGAAATAACATTTCGGCATTACGGTGTCGTGAGAAATGAATTGGCGGGTAAATAGCTTTCGGGTAATCGTGCCGTAACCGCTTGCAGCTAGGGTACTTCAACATTCTTGATTTACGCCAAAGTCATACATTTATGCATGTAAAGCTCTATTAAATTCATAGTTTATATATATTTTATGGCCGATTGTATTAAATTTTAGTAATTTTTACAAGTAAGTGAGTTTTGTGTGGTTAAATATAAACACTAAATTTCTTGATTACAATATGATTCGCGACATAGATTGCATATAGATAACAAGAATACCTCTTATGCAGTATGTAACTAACTACGATCCTAAAATAGAGATGGGTTTCATGCGTGCGCATGATTGAGGAATCAAGCGCATTAATGCGCATTCATGCGCATGATACCGTTTCATGCGCATTTTATCAAAATTTCTCTCCTCTCGATCGTTTTTGCCTTTTTTTATCATGCGATATCATGCGCATGAAACAATTCGTGCGCATTAATGCGCATTCATGCGCATTTTATTATAAAATGCGCATTTTTCCCATCTCTAGAAATGAAGTATACAAATTGTACAGTTTCTATATCCAATATTGATCACATGACTTACGCTAAAGACATTAAAATGCCATTAAAAAAAATATTAAAATAAATCAAGTAAATAAATTTGTTATAAAGATACATTTCCTATTATCATATTCATTTCCAACAATTATAAGTGAAACATCGTTTAGAAATAATTCAATAATAGAAAGACAAAGAGTAAAATTTCAAACAAATAAATGAAGGATCATAACATCTTTCAAACCTAACTTTTCCTATATGTAAGTAATATAAAATTAAAAAAAATTCAACAGGTAATAATTTTTAATGAAACAAATGAATAATGCAATTAAACAACAACTACGGGCTTTCATAATAAGTTGATATAAACTCACAAATCCAATGATTTAGAATAATAGCTAAGGGTGTTCTCAAGCAGCTCACTCAATGGATCGGAGGCAAATTGTTAATAGTCGGAAATTGAATAACTTAACCAAGTGAGCTGCCATTGCGATGAACAGATCAGCGAGCTACAAATCATCTTTTTTTCTTCAAAAATTTATTATTGATGAAGGTCGCTTAAGCATTACTTTTAATTCTTTACATATTAAGCATAATAAACAATGAATTTTCACAAAGTTCTAACCGATATGAAAAAAATAGCCACTTTATTTTTAATTCTTGAAGCTTTTAAAATAAATAATCGATACCTGATATGGTCGTAAAATGAATACATCATCTTTTAAACATTTAATCAAACCATAATGAATTCTGCTATTCCATTTTTAGTTCAATAAAATTTAAATATAAGATTCATGAGAAAAAATTTTTGTTGTAAAGGAACTTTCGCTAATGATTGATCTGTTGCTGTTGCAATAAAAGTTTTGAATTGGTAAAATCATTAAAAGAAAAGGCCGACGCAGCCGAGTGGCATAACGCAGTTCACGAAAAATAGAAAAAGAGTATGCACAAGCATTTATTCCTATAAATATTGTCATAGATCGTGATGCTTGAGCGTCATCATGTTCATTATTTAATTAATTGATTGAGATGCTTGAGAACACCCTAAATTAAGTCAACTTTATCTTAAAACATCTAATGTATGTCTTAACGCTCATATATGTACAGCAAAATCTCTATAAGCGCACGTACTTGGGACCATACTTTAACAATGTGCACTTAGAGAACAATAAGAAAAAGTGCATCGATGGAAATTATGCGTATATTTGGGTTGAGATTTGAGCATGTACTTATAGAAAGTGCACTTATGGAGATTTTACTATATGAAGGGTCATCTCCTGCATTATAGGGGTAGATTTTTGGTAGTTAAGATACGCAGAAAATTTTATCGTGACACAGACAAATATTTAAAGAGTATAAGCCTGGAAAATCTACTACAAAATGGGTTTGCCGTTCACTTTACTTCCAAGTTAGGGCACTGATACAAATTTCAATGAAACGTTTGAACCTATAAAATAAAACCAAAAAAAAAAGTAAATTTTATAAAAAAAACGCGTTAATTTATAGGATGAATATAAAGCAATCCTTTTTTTTTTCAGAAATCAATTGAGAAGTAACAATTTTTGATTCTTTAGATAAATCGCACCATACGAACTTTTAACTACCAGTAAGGTCAGTTGAATATGGCATCGTAGATTTTATAGTTGAAGTTTCATATAAAATTGCTTCGTAATAATTACGCGGAAATAACGTATCCAAATTATTGCACATGACATGATTTTAATATGAAAGTTGCAACTACAAAAATTAGTAGGGTCAGATGAAATAAAATCTTTATTAACCAAAATTATGCTGTAAATTAATCAATTAATCGCTGATATACTCTGTAGTCTTTTAGTAAGCAAACTGAATGCCAGAATATTAGCAATAACTAGTAGATTGTAAATTGACTTTTTAATAGCTGTCAATAATGTATAAAATAATTAGTTAATCATAGATAAAGAAAAAACTTCTATCGTTTTCTTGAAATAAATAGATAGCTTATTAATTTTTTTTATATTTATTTTAAGATTAATTAAAAAAAATGGTTGATTCAGAACATGTAGTTTTTTCAAGAGTAGTTGGTTTCATTTCTTTAGCTTGTTGGATTTGTGTTACAATTCCGTAAGTGATCTTTTTATCACTCTCATCAATGCTGTAAAAAATATAATAATAATTTTTAATTTCCTACAGCCAACTTTATGAAAATTATAAACGAAAATCTGGCAGTTCAGTATCATTAGCTTTAATATATATATGGATCATGGGTGAATTGCTTGATTTGATTGGCGCTATTTTACAAAACTTGCTACTAACGGTGGTAAGTCGTATATCTAATTAATGCTTAATTCACATATATCGTGTTGTCTAATTTGTTGTCCTGAGCGGAGAATACTCAATTTCTATATTAATATTTAATATTAATGCGAGCTTGTAATTATAGATTCTCGTTGCAATCTACAACGGTTTGATTGATATCTCTTTATTATTGCAAACCTACTATTACCGCTCCCGCAAAACACCAAACACTGCTGAATCTGATAATAAATCTGAAGAATCTAATAATAACTCTGACAAAGAATTTATTAAACATAATGATTCAAATGTAGAATCACAAATACCCATACGTCAATCAAGATTTAAACAATTTTTGAAAGTCTTTGCTGGATTCTTTGTTATCTGCTTTATTGCGGGTCTTGCTTATATTATTTCTTCTCAAACGAAGACAGAATATGATCAAGGTGACGAACTAGAATTGAAATTATTACCGCAAATTTTCTGATGGTCTAGTGCTACGTGTTTTTGTAACTAAAAAGTTCTTTTATTATTTTTCTTTAGTTTTAAATGTGTTAACTATTTATCATACAGTATAATATATTTATTATATATTACAATAGTCACAGCAAGAATTCCACAGGTTATTAAAAATTATAAATTACAATCAACTGAAGGACTATCTTTGGTTATGTTTTGTTATTGCGCACTAGGAAATATCACTTTTTTTCTTGTATGTATTAAATAATTTTGTTATTTTTCATTTATTTATAACTAAAAAATTAACTTATATATAATAGTCGATTATCATTTACTCTGTAAAATTTAATTACCTGCTTTGTAATCTTCCCTGGTTAATTGGAAATACTGGTGTTTTATTTTTTGACATTATAGTAAGCCTTAAGATTATTAAAGCTATATTTTCTTAAACATGATATAGTATTAACTTTAACATCTTTTAAAAGATTCTTGCCCAATTCTTTTATTATAAATAACATTTCAAGATTAATTTAATTATATAAAACTGTAATAAAATTATACCTTTAATTAGAAATCTGAAAAAAAATACTTTCACAAGTAAAGTTTAGTTTAGGATTACTGTAAATTTTAGAGTCTAATAACATATGCTCTAGAAAAAACGGTGTACCAAAACTCTATAATAATAATGTATTTCATGCTGGATGTTTTAATGATTTTGTATTTGTCATTATAGAAGTCGTAGATTATGTATTTCTAGAAGGGTATTATCTAATTAACCCTTTACTATCTTTTTATCGAGATATCATTTCCATGTGCATTTATTCATATTCTTATTACTTCTATTATTCTCGTGATCCGCCACATTTCCATTTTGATTAAAATGGAAAAGACTTACATAAAAACTGTCGGAGTTATATGAGCTGCACCCTTAGAACTATCTGCATTTACGTTTTCTTTGTCTTTTTGTTTTATTGCTTAATTAAGCCATTCTTAAAATTAGATCATAAAATTAGATCTTCAATCAAATGTATTTTATAAATAATTTAGTGATTCTATTGATCAACATTATTAGAAATGTATTAAACTTTAATTGAATTTATAATTTATCATTATTCTGAACACTTCCAAAATATTGCTTTCCTTTATCATTAATCAATTAGGGTAGCTGCGCAGCGTGTGATCAGATTCAAAAATTGGTGGTCTTAGTTCATCAAGCACTATTTTTATTTGTAATTGTGACCTAAAGACTTTATTATAAAGCGTAGGTATTGGTATTCCGTATAAGATTTCCCACATAATCATACTAAATGAGTAAATATCTGATGCTGTAGTATATGAGTGTTCTGTCAAAGCTTCTGGAGCTATATAAGGTAAAATTCCGCAAGATTCCACTTTTTCATCTATATTGGTCGGTATTGAAAGTCCTAAATCTGCAATATATGCACTATGCAAGTTTGACTGTAAAATGTTGCCACTGTGTAAATCTCGATGAATCATCCCTTGAGAATGAATCATTTGAAGATCAGAAGCAATAGAATGCAATAAATTTAATTTATTTTCTCATTCCATTTGTGCTACAGAGAGTAGATTTTCACGTAGAGATCCCATTGGTGCATATTCCATGACATGAATATAATTTTTAGAAATATCATCTTTTGATATTCCAAAACATCTTAAAAATGTTGGATTTTTATTTCCAATGTCACAATATGATTTTAACTTAAAAAATATGTATATAGTTAAGTAATAATTTATCGAATTTCAAGCATGTCAACACATAAAGAAAATTACCTCTTTTATAAATTCTTCATGATACTGTTCTGAGTTATGAATCAGCTTTAACGCAACAGTTCGCACAATTCTTAGGTTTTTATCAAACCAATAAGCAGAATAAATTGTTGCAAATCCACCTTGCCCTATAATTTTGACATTTCCAAATTCTTCATAAGGAATCCAAGATAACGGATACTTGCTTTCAGCTAATATTGTTTTTAAACTATAATCAATTTCCAAGCTGTTAGGTATTCGCCTATTTATTTCTGAAGAAATTTTATTGTTAGTTTCTAGCAATTTAGCAAATAATAAAATGATTAATCATAATTAGTCACCTGATCTTTGTTCCAGTTCCCTAAATAATTTTTTAATGTTTATAGTTATTAAAAAAACAAATATAGTATCAATATAAGTAGCTACTTACATATTATACCATTCATTAGCTTTTTGTAAATCTCTTATTGTTCCAATTCCATTTCGACAACATCGTCCAACAAGATGCATTCCATCAACATTACCCATCTTTGCCGATTCTTGAAAATAAAAGAATGCCTTATGTTCATCTTTTTCAATTCCAATTCCATTTAGATAACAGTTACCAAGTGAAACTATTGCATCAGAATCACCCATCTCTACAGATTTTTCATAATAAGTGAATGCCTTATAACTATCCTTTTCAACTCCAATCCCATAATGATAGCAACTTCCAACACTAGCAGCATCACCCATATTTGCAGATTTTTGATAATAAATAAATGCCTTATGTTCATCCTTTTCAACTCCAATTCCATCTGGATAGCAATATCCAACATTATATATTGCACCAGAATTACCCATCTCTGCAGATTTTTGATAATAAATAAATGCTTTACGTTCATCCTTTTCTACTCCAATTGCATTGTCATAACAATATCCAACATTACATGTTCCATCAGCGTTCCCCATCTCTGCAGATTTTTGATAATAAATGAATGCCTTACGCTCATCCTTTTCAACTCCAATTCCATTTCGATAACAATATCCAACATTATTTATTGCTGCAGCATCACCCATATTTGCAGATTTTTGATAATAAATAAATGCTTTAAGTTCATCCTTTTCAACTCCAATTCCATTGAGATAACAATATCCAACATTATTCATTGCTGTAGCATTCCCCATCTCTGCAGATTTTTGATAATGTATGAATGCCTTATGTTCATCCTTTTCAACGCCAGTCCCATTTAGATAACAATCTCCAACATCATTAATTGCTGTAGCATTCCCTATTTTTGCAGATTTTTGATAATGGATAGATGCCTTATGTTCATCTTTTTCAACTCTAGTCTCATTTCGATAACAATATTCAACATTATTAACTGCTGTAGTATTCTCCAACACTGCAGATTTTTGATAATGGATGAATGCCCTATGTTCAACATTTTCAACACCAATTCCATGCATGTTAGCAGAGTTTTGATTATTTGCAAATTTCTTATGTATATTTTTTTTAGATTTCAATTCCATTTTGATAATATTTTTCAAGATTAAACATTCCATTGGCTAATTTTTAATAATTGTTATCCTTTTATTTTTATAGACTTATTTGAAGAGTATCAACCAACTGATGAATACATTTAGTAGACTTTTCATAAATCAGATTTGCATTATTAGAAAAGTGAAAGAATTTAATATTATTTAAGATAGGAGCAAATGAAAAAAGACTAAAGGCATATTTTAATATGCAACAATATATCATATGGGGTGACTGGAAAAAACATAAAATTAAATTTAGCAAAGCAAGCATTAATGCAAACAAATAATTCAACAAATATCCCAACCTTATTAGTTTTTTCTTCTAAAATATTTACTATTGCCTGTACGTTTTGCTCATTTTTCCATTGGTCAAATTGATTAAGCTGATCAAGCTCCTGAAATCTAATTATAATTACTTTTAAATTTTCATTATCTATTGTTTGAAAAATTTTTGTCAATAAATACATCCTAACAGATTAAATAATTAAATAGCATATATATACCTTCTTCAGCGTTGTGAATAGACATGTCTAACGGACCATAAACTGGCTTGAACAAAAGTGTTTGATTTATTTCTTGTTCACTCACTAATTTATTAAAGTCCTCAATTCTGGTCTCTTTAAGGATTTTCAATAAGCCAAATAAAAGTATTTTATTAATTAGCTCTAATTTTGAAGGTTCAGTCTAATATTTAGACATTCAAAATATTTATTTTTAAGTAATTTATTATTATATAGTATAATGTTTGATAAATTAGCTAACCATTCTAATAATCCATCGAATAAAATCCATTCCTTGTTTCTGCAAATTTATATCAGTATTAGGACC